CCAAAAAGTGTACAATCACATTGTTACGCACTCCACATATATACCGTACTTTGGACGACTAAATTTGGTCTTTTGCTTTGTCTTTGGTACTCGAGTAGCGAGCAGTATAGAAGTTGTTGGTATAAGATCTTGCGTTAGTATACTCCGTACAATTCGTGAACGTCGATACCTTCAACATCCAAAATGTCCTCTACAAGGCAAAGAGTAATTTACCTAAATCCCTACGTACCTGACTCATCTGTACTTCTGAAGCTTTGGCTATAGAAACAGAAAAGCCAGATCTCTGTGTACAGGAAAAGTTCGTTCAACCCCTTCAACTTTCGTGGTCTTAATCCCTCTATGCTAAAGTATGGATATCCCCAATCATATTTTGGCTCCACCAATTTTTCATTTTTTCATTTTGTCTGTTTAATTTGTATTCTCTTCCTTATTACGTCAATTGTTGCTATTACTACTCTCACTTTGAACTGTCCCCGGTATTAGATATGATAGTTCAAAGTGAGAATACGAAACAAAGAATGAAGCAGTCGAAGAACGCTAATTGGTACAGAGATAAACTTTTAAGAATTTCCTGTAGACCTTGTGCTACCCATGGGTATTCAATAAGTAATAAATGTATTTCCATGTCCCGCACTAAGCATTCCTGATACGCTGACTCACTGGAATAAAATTAGACGAAGTAAAAAGTGATATTATGGCATTTTACAGACTGTGTATTAGGGGTTTTGAGCTGCTTTGATCATTTCCTACTGAGAAGATTTCAGGCCAGATGATTATTCCTAATCTAAGTCAGATATAAAGCACGGCAAATATCGGTTCGATTATGGATTGACTGTGCAGACAAACGGATAATCGCATTACAAACGAACGGGTAGTCAATTCTGCATTACAAGTGACAGTGTGGTCAGCTTGTAAACCAGAGCATTTCTGGACCTGATAAGCTCCCCGTTAACATTTTGCAAGGGTGTTACTTATATATATTTCATAGAGATAATCATCTTATACATTTTATGGCACACTGTTCAACCTCTTCTGATGAGTGCAAAATGTATCTGATTTCATACTCAGCACTACAGTCCTATAAAATAGTGCGGAAACTAAACATTCATTCTAATTCTTTAATTTGAAAAATACGGGTACCGAAAAGGTGCGAGAAAGTTTCAAAATAATGCGTTCCGTTGAAAAAGTGAATAGTCAGAGAAACCAGGAGAACCCAGTTTGAAAATTGTAAAGCTTTAATGCCATAAAAGCACCAAAACACTATTTTCAGCAGTGACTGATGGCCTCATTCAGGTATCCTAGTGAGGTGGAGAGGAAATACCTTGAAGTATCACTCAAGAACCCGTGGACCAAACACAGTCATGTGGCTGACAGCATGATTCTTTTGGCAACCGGTTTTTTAACAGACTACTCCTCAGACTGGGCTTGTTTGTCATCCCATCAGTAAAAACTTAAGAATATAGATGAGGTGACTACACAACTTTTGCGTCACTGAAATCAACAACATTAGTTCCGAAGAGAGAATCAGCTAATCTTTATTAACGCCTTACCTTTACTGCTATATTGGATGAGCTTTAGTATCAGACCAGTAGTTACCCTACCCAAACTGTTGATACTGATAACAAGTGAAAAATCAGGGTGACCCAGCTGGCACTTCCTTCGGGTGCACTGAGGAATTTATGGGGCAAAAGACGTCGGGCAGTGTTCTGCAGTCTGCTTCAAAGATTCCGTTGTGCGCCAAAATCATGCCCCTTACTTTCTGCAAGTGGCCCTATGCTTGAACTACACGCCTACGACTGTGCAGTGAACCCTAAGTCGATAGACGCCAAAAATATATATCTATTATGTGCACAAACCAACAAAGAGCCACAAACAAAGTACTTGCGTCAACTCAAAGACTTATGATATTAGAAAGCAGCTGAGTTTTATGAAGCGTGTATTTAGTCCCCATGCACGGCTGAAGCCCTATGTTCCTCTAGGAAATAAAGGAAACAGTAATAATAATAATACAAAGTCTCTTTACAGTGTTCAAACGCATCATACGAGTCAAACGCCTTATAAATAACCAGAAGTATTCAGACATGTACTTTCCGCATCTGGTCTGTTCTCCTTGTTCCGGCCGACGGTGATCTAAAAAAGGTGAAGTAAAGGTTGAGGAATACCGAAGGGGAATGTCCTCGTTTACATATCTCTTCCTTCATTCTGTCACGACTGTTATGGAAAGGCCGTTATATGGAAGCTGTGATGGCGTCCGCTGTGGTCTGTCTATAGGCATTGTCCTACTGGAAGAGACTATTAGTGGTCCCTGCAAACTACACTAAAAACAATATTCATTCACGAATTACAAGGTGACACGTCATTGTGTCCTTGAATAACCCCTTCTCTTTGGTAGCTACCGATGAAATTTGAGTGCCACACGTTGGCTTCAGCAAAACATTCATCATGCGACCTACTGAGCTTTGGATATTCCAGTCAAGCAAAGTATTAAAGTTGACAGATTCACCATGCTGTCTAACTGCCATCTGCCTGAATACTTCAGTATTTGGAGGTTGAAGATATCGACGTTCACGAACTGTACGGAGTATACTAACGCAAGATCTTATACCAACAACTTCTATACTGCTCGCTACTCAAGTACCAAAGATAAAGCAAAAGACCAAATTTAGTCGTCCAAAGTACGGTATATATTTCGGGACCAAATCGCGGGCTGAAGTGAATGCTTAGCTGGCTAGTGATCGTGCACGCACGTGACACGACAGAGTACCAAATGGCGGGGATGCTTGACCGGAAGCCTTCAGCTAAACAAGTCGACTTAAACAGTGAGGGTCAGCATCCAATGTTGAGTGATGATTGCTGTGGTCAATAATTTTGGGGAATTATATACCACTACAAGTACTTTAACTGAATTCATTCGAATTGGGAATACGCTTTGAGGAGTAATGTATTTAAAACAGAATGAGAGATGAGGTTATCCTAAGAAACAAGATTTTGACTAATTCGGTTGAAACAGGACTTTTTGCTTGTTGCTAAAAGCAACGTTAATGCATTCCGATATCGAGACCTGTTGGATGCGTGCTTGTTTGAACGAAATTGAGGACATTCAAAAGGTCTGATGGCACACCACGTATTTGTTTAGGGTCAGATAACAATGTGACGCCACCATGAATATCATAAAAAGACCATTTCATGCTTAGTGGTCTGAAGGGAGCTACACCTAAAATATTGGACTTTGAATGCTTCAAACATTTGAAGCAGGTGTTACGACGCATCAATACGTTGTCGCCGTGTAGTGGTTCAAATTTAAAAGGAAGCGTCAGTTCAAAAACCGGTGGACACTGAACTGTAAAAGCCGAGCTCTTTTTATCCACATGTATATATTTTTTGGATTTCTGCTGGTGTAATTCAGTGTCAATTATAAAGTACTTTTCCTCAAGCCGTGTTTTGCTTCCTCGCTCTACCCTGCGTGCTTGACCTGTATAATTGCTTGTGTTGTTCTATTACAGACCGTTTCGGAAGTCGTTCCCGCTTGCGCCGTCGTGAAACAGTGTTCTCTTCCTACGCTTGTTCTATACGTATTTCAGTCCCAAGCTAACCATGATGCTGAATTGAATCTCACTAATTCTGAAATAATTCTAACTCTCCATAGTGAATAAATTCTGAATCTGTTCTAAAATGGATCCTTTAACTGTAAAGACCAGAACCCAGTGCTGGTTTTTAGCATGACTGGCACTAATTCAGCACCATTTTCTTTTTCTAGGCATTGTCAGGAGTAGATCAGAACCTATTGGGTTTGCTTGTCAGAGTTGTTCCAGCCCTCACAGGACATATTCAGCGCGGACTAGCGTTACTTCAAAACGAAAAGACTTAATTCATCACCCAGCTCTCTTTTTAAGCAGGACCAGCGTCATTTCAGAACATAGTGGGTAGATAAATGCTTCACTAACCATAAAAAGGCATTATCGAAGAATAAGTTTAGAATTGTTTTAAGTTTGGTAAAATATGACAACTTCAGTACCTTGGGGAGATTTTAGGGCAGTTGCGTAATATTGCGGCTCTCCTGGAAACGTCGATATTTTGATATATTTTCTCGAATATTTCACAACAGTGTAGATACACTGATTTGCAAATGGATGTTCACTAGTAGTGTGAATCGGGAAGGTGAGAAACTGAATTTCGTATTGGTTTTAGGTGAGATATTAAGTTCACTGGGGGCATTTAAACTTGTCTGAATAGCCAGTCATATGGTGGCACTAATGTTTATTTACATGACGTCATATATTTTTGTATTTTTCTCATTTAAATTGTATCAGCTAATTTCAGGTAGCATCATTATTTTATTAGTCTTTCTAAGTAAAGACAAAATGCAGTTTCAGCTTAATTACATTTAGGATATTTTAGGAAAGCATCTCATTTTAAAAGTCATTGGAATTTTCAGCAGATGGTGCAGGACAAAGTGCTGTAACCATGCGGTAGAAAACTAAACCAACAAGAATCACACCCATGTTCTTACCTAGTTTACTAAGCATGGCAACGCTGAACCGACGTACTGGCGGATTTTTGCAGCCCTATCCTTTTGGCTGTCTATAGGAAACATTTGCAGTGGTTATTTTAGTGGTGCGCACTTTCCCTTGCTAAAAACGGTTGTGTGATAAACATTAAGTCCTGTACCATTTAAAACTATAAACGCAATTGTTTCGTTTACCATCTCTCTAATTTTGCACGGAAAAGCCTATCATATACTGTGTATGCACAAATATAACACGTATTGAGTCCGTTGAATAATTTTTTCCCTGAATGTTTTGTGCTTCATGCTAGAGTAAAATAACTTATTTAAATAATTTTAACTTCTGGTATTACAAAAAGCAGGAGAAATGATGTTATTTCATCAAATTAAAATTCTATTTTGCAATTACGATTTGCACGAAAAAAATAATATAGGCAGTTCCGTTTCTACACATATTTTAACAGTTCCGTTTTATTCTTTTCAAAATGTTTTTAGAATGAACTCTGGTGACAGAAATAATGAGCAGTTACCTCCTAGTAATAGATTTAATTCACGAACAAGTGGAACCTTTCGTCGCGGATCTCGTTATTCAGTGGGTTTGTCGGCGAGGTATGATATGAATACGCGTCCTTCAGTAAACTATTATAATAGTCGTTCGAATTCTTATAATAGATATAGAACAAATGCCCGTCGAGGCCGCCCATTTAGGACGAATAGTCGGTGGATAAGTAATCGTGGCTCTGCTACCTCCATTGTAGGGGATTCTAATAGCAGAAGTCGTCAAGTTGCTGAGTCGGTTCCACAATCCACAAGTAGCTTAGATCACTTCGAAGGATCTGTATTCCCAGCTCATGACGGCTCTTCGGACAGTGATAACTCAAGTTCTGTCACCAAAGTGTCAATCAGTGCTACGATGTTGCCCACCGGAACCAAATTTCAGGATAATCTACGGAGTAAGTGATTGTCTTATAGCTTAAAGTTTCAATATATTAAATCTTGACTACTGTTTGCAAGTGTTAATACACTTCATTTTCTTTGTTTTTGATGTATATTTGGTAATAATCGGAATTTAGGTGCACGTGAAATACAGATGATTATAAAACGGCATGAAAACTTGTGAAAGTTACCTATAGCCTTCAAACGCTCATGTTGAACTCTTGAGCTTCCGGAAAATCTCTTTCTCTTGCTGTCACATCCTCTGGAGTGTGAAAATGTGTATCATTGCCCGTAGAATTGGACTTTCAACCAGTTGGCCCCACTGCACATCTTTCATTTGGCAACTAAGTAGTGTCATCAGTTTTCACGCAACAAATGTAGCCAGTCGCCTTATACATAAAATATTTGTTCTGCGCAACTAATTTCTTAAGAAATTGAGTTTGTGGTGTTACTTATTCTTCATGAATGTGTAAATGGTACATAAAATGAATCCCAGTGTGCCTACACTTTACTCATACCTTGGTAAAACAAAGTGAAAATACAAACACTAAGTAAACGTTTTCACAAAATATGAAGGCTGGTAAATTCCTGTCTATTGGCTTCAAGCAATATTTTGCTAATTAAGGCGTGAACATCTAGTGTTCCGCAGGTCGGTGGACCAGGTTCCCTCGAATAATAAGGTGGTTCATATACGTCAGACTAGCTATCAATGATGGTAGTTGCCGTAAGCCTCTACACTTCGATAGAGGCTTCGATACACTTATATATATATATATATAATATATATATATACAACTAATCTTTCCTGCCTTCTTTATGTATTATTGTATTTTTAACGCTAATAATCCAAGTAGATCACATATTAATTCGTATTACAGGCAGGTTTAATTTTGTAGTCGTATTTATCTCAGTCACATTGACCTAACTTGTCATAAATTTCTTCAGTTATGGATTACTTTTAGCAAGGGTCAAGTAATTTGGCGTTTAGCCGTGATAGCCACTCAAATGGCTTTCCTAACCATTTCACTAATGCTTTTGTTTCCTATCATATTAAATTTGTGGATCAGATAACCTTATTGATGGATTGCGCAACAGCACGTATGAATGTATGATATGCATTTCAAAGATTCGTATAACAGATTCTGTATGGTCATGCGCTACGTGTTATCATATTTATCACCTGTCCTGTATTAAGTCATGGGCGAAATCTCAAGTGAATGGTGCCGTATCAACTTCAACTCCTTGTTGGCGCTGTCCATCGTGTCAAGCAGATTATAAAACACCATTTTACTCACTTTTCTACCAGTGCTTTTGTGGACGCACCCAAAATCCTGAGTTTCATCCCGCCCGTAATACAGTACCACATGGTTGTGACCAACTTTGCAATAAGGTGAAACGTTTACTTTCTGCACATAATTTACCTAGCAATTCAGTGGCTGATTATCAGTGTCCCCATCGCTGTACAGAGTAAGTTTAAGGATATTTATACTTTCATCCTCTCATCCTCTTTTTTCTCAATAATTTACAGTTATGGATTGTGTTTTGGGAAGCAACAAACGAAGTGTTTTTCTAACGCCTGACAATACGTGCTTTCACCACTGAATTAAAAGAATAAATTTTATCAGAGGTGATTGGAAAAGTCTGTAGCCGAGCTATCGATCCTCTAGATGATCACGTTACATCAAAGTCAGCATTTGTCATGTGAAAAATCAAGCTATTTTTTATAACGGCTGTAATTATTGGTGTGAGCTGTGTATTCAAGCGTAGGTTGCTTTGAAAAGGTCGTTATGTTGTTAACTGTTTCTTCTAGTATTGTGTATTTTGTTTTTCTGAGAGGTAAATACACATAGAGAAGCCAAGGACGAGAAATGTCAGTTGATTTTGAAACATTCCGTGAAAAGTTAACTAGTTTGTTGGATATTAAAGCTTATTAAATTCCCAAACCTATATTTTATCAATCAACCGACTATCTTTTTTCGATGTCGATAGTTTCTCAATTTTTTAGGGACTTACATTTTATGTCAACGACTGTATATAAGGGTTGATGCATTCTCGCATACCGCTAGACCTTTTTCGAATATTCTGTCTTTTGACATTAAATTTTTGTTAGTATTTCAGGTTTCTTAAGTTATCGTCACTTATTAACATTATTGTATAATCTGGGTTAGTCAGTGAGCGAAACCCCAGGGTACATGTTCTTCAAATCGTAACTTGACCATGGTGATTATATCATAGTGGGTTTTTACAGCTCACTTTCTACGGTTGATTAACAGAATTTAAAGGGGAATATACTTTACACAGTTTGGTGAACATTTGTATAATTTAATGTTGCCAGTAGGTGTAGAGTTACAATATTTTGCTTTTTCATATTTACTCAAAGCATATTGTACTTCGTTTTAGCTGTAAGGAAAAAGCATTCATTTCTAAGAAAAGGTCTACAAAAACCTCTCGTATTTTTCCTGAACATTAGTTGGTTAGAACCCTGTCTTTAGGAAATGTGATACTCACCAGACTATTAGTCACATTTTTTGCGTGGCCATTAATGATACTACTTAGTCGCCCAGAATTAGGTAGGCTTAACATTATTCAAGACTAAAACCATCTGGCTAATTCAAACCCTACAGCAATAAGCTACATTCTCACGCTTTAACAAAGAAGTTGTTTATGATTTCGATACTGATAAGAGACTCATTGGCTCCCTGTACCATCTAATACCAAATAACAGTTCATTAACGGTCCAAAGTAACTGTCATGTTACTTAGTATAGTGGCCACACACCTTCGACTAGTGACGTTCGTTTTTCAACGCCTGCTTACCATTTTTTTACGCGTATTGTAAAGCGTAACAGTGTGTTCACTATGATCAGTAAGTTATAGTGAATGATCAATAGAGCACATTATAATTGCTTTGGTGTACCTGACTACGCTGCCAACTGCCTGCCTGAATCAAAGTAGAATTTTACAAGGACAAGCATTCATTTTGTTTGTCACACTCTGGAATATCACACAGAAATGAAATGTTGCAACAGTAGATAATCACATATAAGACATAAATGCTCTCGAGAGTATTTATGAAAAAGTCGGTGACAGTTAAATTCACTATTCTGCATAACATTTTATACCTCTCTCCGGATGTGTTATTAAAGTTGTATTTTCTCCGGATATCATCTTACTTACCATAACTTTCCTGTTGTTCGTCTGAAAAATGAGCTTAAGTAATCGACGTGAATTATCGATTCTTAGTGCTTTTTCTGTCTCTTTCGTTTCTGATTATTTTCGGATCTGTCGGGAGTTTTTGTTGTGTTAATCATCTCTAGATATTTGCTTTCTCAAAGTAAGCTCTACCGAGGGCTTACCAACTGTCTCCAATTTCTATTTTTTCAGGCAGCTAGATATGGTGCCACATTATTTCTTCGGTGCTGAGATAAGTGTATGGTCAACCTCGTGACACACACATATACTGCTCTCAATGATAGGCTGGACACATAATACTTTAGTATACACTTGTTTTTTGCGTAGTTAGTTGCATGTATTATCAGGTTTCATTCAGAGCTTCTAAAACATGTGACATTCTTCTCTCGTTTCCTCCTGCCTATGACTTGATGTCACCGGTTTCTAACAGAAACTGTGCTTGGAGTTAGCGCTGGTTAGATGCAAATGATTGTCGGGACTAAACTGTAAGAGATGATCACCGTTGTCGGTTAGTTGGCATCGGGTTCCGTAAATACTTTCCATACGCTTTTCTGATTTAGTCACTTTCTCCATTTGAGCACTACCATACTATGTTAACTCGCCTGCTTCCACAAAGTATGACTGTCTACAGCTATCTTTGCATCTTCTTGCAAAGCTTGTTCTTTATACTTCTCAAGAATCCATCTGAATTGGTGCTTAATCGTAGACTATGGACGCATTAAGGTGAACAATACTCAGACAATCGTCTCTTGGGATCCACTTGGTTAAAACCGTTTATGATCCGGTGCTTGACGACTCTATTCCATGCATGAGAACTGGTCAAAGAGTGTCTCTTGATGCTGGTAAGGTGAAGTCTTCAGATTTGCCATGTCTGTTGGGTGAAATTAAATAAATACCCAATCTCGGGTTACGTGTGCTTGTTCTGGAGATACAGCATAGGGTCTGGATCTCTAAATTTCCAGTGTACTGTTACTAAAATGGTTTTAAGTAAATGTTAAAAGTATTCCTCTAACTTAGATTGTTGGTAATGATCATAAGGAAAAGTAGGAATTGCACAGACTATATGAGACTTCATACTAACAGTGTAAAATAGCAGTCAGTTAGTTTTGAAGAAGTTTAAAAGATGAGAAGGGTATGCAACAAATAAATGAGTCTCGTGTACTGATTTCAGCGTGTAACCATTCGCTGCCTGATCAATGAAAATTTTGGAAGTATACCAGCTGTTTAGAGTACTACCGTAGACCTTTGTAGGCAGTTTTCTGATATCATACTGTTTCATCTTAGCCACATGTGATAGAGCATTTGTTTGTAAAGAGTATTCATATTGGTTAAAAATATTCCTGTCTCAACATTTAAGCATTTTGGCGTTCTTTACTGGACAAATTTTTCCTAGTAGCTACTACATAATTTTAAACACCGTAAAAGTTATTATTTATTCCATTTCCTGAAACAAAGCATATAGTTACACTGTTAAACCTGAAATAATCTAATAATGTTAAATGTACTGTTTAAGATACTACAGTGTTCTAGTTTAAGCGTGTATTTCCTGAATGACTTTCGTTGTTTATTCTATCCACGAGTAGATGATGTTTAAAAAAACAGATAATAGACGTCATTCCAGTAGACCATAACATCAAGGAATACTATACTTTTGTCTCTCGCTGGAATAGAAGAATGCGTTAATTAGCCATAAATGTATTCAAACTCAACTAGCAAACGAAATAACAGTTTAGTCTTCCAGTTTTAGCTTAAATGTTTGAGAACGCTGAAATGCTACTAATCCTCTTACATGTTGATTCCCCCATTATTCGTTAAACCAACTCGATCATTTAATTGTCTTACCAACTTTTAGATGAAATGGTAAAAAGAAGCAAAAGTGGCTGTGTGGTTAATTGATTGTGTTCAGTTAGCACAGCTGCTTTGTAAGTTCTGAGAAAAACGTAAAGATCCTAATTTTTCACTCCCGAGTGTAAAAATATGTCCTAAACATGAGCACTTATCACGTCAGTAATATGTTTTTTTTTATAGATTATGTCATCCAGGTCCGTGTCCTCCATGTCTGGGTTCTGTCACTTTAAGTTGTCCTTGTGGAAAGTTTCAACGTTCTGGTATTTGTGGTGATCCTAGTCTCCCACCTTGTGGACAGATATGTGGGCGTCAACTTCCTTCATCTCTCTGTGCAGCGGGTGTCCATGTGTGCCTGGAACGTTGTCATTATGGACCTTGTCTACCTTGTCGTTGGAAAATACAAACAAGTAAATCGATTTGTTTTACCGTTGTTGTTGTTTTTTTTTCATTTGATAATAACAGTTATTCTGCTTAATAAAGCTGGATCTGAATATCAATTATGCGGAACTGTGAAGCGATCCAAAGTCTTTATATGACTCAGGAGGTTAAATTAATGAGCGCGGATCAGTAGTTTAAAATTTCAATCTATATTTATGAAGTGTAAACAACCAGGTAGTGTTATGGGGTTCTCACACAATATTTATGACTCATATATAAATGGGTGTATAAATCTGCACAAGGTTACTCAATTGAAAGGTAATGTACATTTAAGAAAAATCCATACCCAACAGGCATATCATTTGTACTTTGGATATCTATTATTATTATTATTATTGTTCCCTTGGGTTCCTAGTGGAACATAGGACTTCAACTGCACGTCTCCACTTGCTTCTGTCTTCTGCTGTACTTTTCACCTGCATCCATGTTAGTCCATACTGTTTCAATTCCTCTTCACACGATCTCCTCCATGTCAACCTTGCACCAACGAACCACTCATTGCTTCCCTTTTGGGTTCCACTGGAGCGTTGGCCTGATGCGCGATGTCACCCAGTGGCCTCCTCAGCGAGTGTCCAATCCATCTCCACTTTCTCCTGCATATTTGTTGGGCGATTGGTTCTTGTTTCGTTTGTTCCCATAGTTTCTTGCTGGTTCTTGTTCTTTCCGGCCATCTCATCTTCAGTATAGAGCTAGCGAAGACAGTTGTTGATAAAGGTGTGCAACAGGTTGTTGGAAATATTCTTTGTGACCCACCAAGTTTCTGATCCGTAAAGAAGAACTGACTGACTTGACGTTTGTATTGAAAATCTGAATTTTGTTGTTGAGTATTGCTGAGTGAGGAAGATTTCCAGATTGGTTTCAGGTTGATGAATGTGTTTCTCGCCTTCCCGATTCTCGATTTGACATCTTCGTCCGTTCCTCCTGTAGTTGAGACAATGCTCCCTAGATCAGTGAAGTGAATGAAGTAACCTCTTTCAAATCCCTCTCGTTGATGGTGATTGACTCTGGATGTTGCTGCTGCTGCTGTTGTTGTTGGTTGCTTATTTTCATAACCTCGGTCTTGTCTATGTTCACCTGGAGTCCTGTCTTTGCTGCTTCTTCGACCAGTTTGTCGGTTTTCGCTTGTAAGTCTTCGGTTTTGTGTGACATCAAACATAAGTCATCCGCGAAATCCAGGTCTTCTAGGTTCTTCACGTCGGTCCAGGATATCCCTGTCTTCTCGTTTCCCACTATCTGACCCATGATCCAGTCCCCCACAATTAGGAATATCATGGGGTGATAATAAGCACCCGTGTTTGACTCCTGTGTTTACTCCAAACGCCTCGCTGAGTTTTCCGTTGTGGGTCACTTGACATGTTCCGTTGTCGTACAGCTGTTGAATAAGGTTGATGAATATTTGGGGTACGCCGTAGTATTCGAGTAGTTTCCAAATTACTTCGCGGTCAACGCTGTCGAAGGCTTTCTCAAAGTCTATACAGTTGAGGTAGAGATTTGATAGCCATTCCATGCTTTGTTCGATGAAGATGAGTAGAGTTGCAATTTGGTCAGAACATGATTTGCCTTTCCTTGTTCTGGTCGGAATTCTGTATCCAGTGCGTCCTTTATTCTCTCCAGGATGATGCGACTCAGGATTTTACTTGGCGTCGACAGGAGAATGATTCCTCGCCGGTTCTTGCTGTTTTGTAATTATCATTTTAATTACCTTTAAATACACTCTTAATGTTTTCTTGTCGTTTTCAAAACCGTGGTGTGATATACAATATTTTTTCAGTGAAAGACTGCTGGTGGTGGTATATCTTTTCAAATCAACACCTTTAGGTAGCGACTGGTTGAAAAAATGACTAAGAATCTATCATCAATTATTTGTTTGCAAAGATTTGATTGATTACGGGTTTGGTCACGAGCTGACATCATTTAAAGAACTATTGGAAAACCAGGAGGTTCTGGGTAGCTGTTTCGTCCCAGTTCGGGACTCTTCATCAGCACACTTCCATTGCGTTTCAAAGCTAGGGCTGATTACAAGACGAGCTGGTAGACCATCCAGCCACTGGAATCCCCGATCTACTGGTTCATCATTTCTGACAAGGACTATTAATACCAAGTCAATTGATTTATTCATAATAAGAGTGCGTTTGTTTTATTTTTGAAGTGTAAAGCTTGTAGGTCAGTCACAAAGATGGTGATGATAATGAAGAATAATCACTGCTACATATACTGATTCTGTGTTTGGCGAAAGCCTATATAAGTTGTAAAACCACTCAGGTATGACAATCTAAATGAGTTATTTCAACAATGAAGAACTCTTTCTTCGAAGAACACTTTACTTCACTATCGGTATACAAAAGGAGTTATTCTGTTGGACAAAGTTGAAAGTTTCGCATTATGCTTCAGTGTTAATTGTTGTTAAGGCCAAATAAAAGTAGGACCCGTCTATGTTAAGATTCAAATGTTTGTGTTGAAAACTGTAGAGTACATGGAGTTAGTGGAGGAGATTATTCTATCCGATTGGATGATTCCCTTTTGAGACAGTGAATAAAAGCCATATTCAACTGTGTTGTCAGCATGCTGAAAGTCTACACCAATCGAAGAAACTGTGTCACTCGCTTACACTAGATTGATTGCGTACGCAGATGCAGGCGATTCACACTCTCTCTGATTGGTAGATTCCAATTCGCTGACATCCAGGTCAGTCAGCTGATTATCTCCTTTGTCTACTAACTGAGAGAAAACGGTGAACTACAAATGCCTTCCAATACTTCAGAGATTCTACTTTGTATTGCAGAATGTAAAGGTTGAAATTTATTAAAACCCTAGTTAGAATCAGGCAGTTATAACATATATCAATGTAAACTTTGTTATTAACATAATCCGTAAATTGTATTACACTTATATGCATACATTTTCATGATCAACATTGCCAATACCAATAACGGCAAAAATATTAGGAAGATTATAAAGGTTGATGTTTATTGCCTTTTAAACGTTCGATCAACTCAACAACCCAGGAATGACATTTAATTCATCTACCAGCACCCGAGCATTACAAATGAAAAGGAACAACTGCAGTGGACATAAAAACAAGCCACAAAAGTTTCCAAGAATTCAAAAATACTTAGGTGCACTACATACTTAAATATATTATAAATTATTTAAATTAATCCCAGCGTGTTAAGAAAATCAAAACAAGATTTCTCTGAACGTTTCGCTGTGTAAGCCACAGCTTCTTCAGCAGATTTATTCGGATTTTTATTAATCATCAAAATATATAGTCAAAAATTTTTTACATACATTAAAGTCAGTTTATTTGAAGGTCATTTGTCTATGGACATCACATATATTTGTAATGACTAATGTCAAATTGTTGTTGTGTTCACTCTTGTATACTTAATTTTGTATAGATTAGTTTTGTATGAGTGTGTGTGTGTGTGTATGTATGTTATTTGTCATGTGGAAAATACGTGAATTCATATATGATAAACATGATCCTATATGTTTTAAAAGGTCATGGAGGCTCATAGAGTGCTGATTGATTTTTTCATTTGTCTTACTTCATAAGAGTTTGCCATATAGGTGATAAGTCTATCCCATCTTTCCTATTCACTGCATTCGAAGTGGTTAAGATGTGCAAGGCTTCAGAAGTCAATCTTTCTTTATGTGAATGAAATCCTCTTCCAAGAATTTCGACATTGTCGAAATCAATCTTATGTCCGCTGTCTATAGCATGCATTGCTATAGCCGATCTTTTTTCTAGACTTTTTAGTTCTACTTCATTTCTAGGTGGACGTTTCGTGCATAGTCTATGTTCATTCACTCTGACCTTCATCTGCCTACTGCTCTCCCCTATATAGCATGCATCACATTCGGAACACTTTATCTTGTAGACACAATTACTTTGTGACATTCTGGGAACTATATCTTTGACATGTACCAACGCCTTCTCTAGAGAATTAGAAGGTTTGACATAGACTTTAATATTATATGAGGCAAATAATCTTTGAAGTTGTTCAGTTGTGTCCTTTCGGTATGGGATGGCTATCGTGGATAGCCAGGATTTTTCAATTTTTGGTTTTCCCTTATGCTCCTGTCTATTGATAATATTATCAAGTAGCTTTTCAGGATAACCATTTCCAATCAAAACCTGTTTTATGTTGGATATCTCGTTCTCCATGTTGTCATTATCTGTTATAATGTTTCTAGCTCTGTTAACGAGATTTAAAGCTACTGAAACTTTCATTCCTATTGGATGATCTGATTGAAAATTCAAATACTTGTTGGAATGTGTCGGCTTTCTGTATATGGTAAACTTTAGTTTCTCGTCAGTTTGTCTTTTTACAAGACAATCCAGAAAGTTTAGAGTTCCCTCAGCCGATTCTATTTCATTAGTAAATTCAATATATTCTGAGATTAAGTTGATTTCTGTTAGAAAGTTTTCTTTTTCAGCTTTCTTTATGATGATAAAAGTGTCGTCTACATATCTGTACCATATTCTAGGATGACAACTAAAACTTGTCAATGCTTTCTTTTCTAGGGCTTTCATATATAGGTTTGCTACAATTGGAGATGCTGGTGAGCCCATTGCAACTCCATTTGTTTGACAGTATAGTTTATCTTAAAAGGTAAAATATGTAGATTCCAAACAAAGTTTTAAACATTTTATAACTTCATCTATTGATAATAAAGATTTACTTAATACTTCTTGATTGTTTTCAAGGTCATATTTCATAATATCAAGTGAATCACAAATAGGAATACTAGTAAATAAAGGAACTACATCAAAACTTGCCATAATTTCGTCTTCTTCAATAATTATGTCCGTTACTTTTCTTTTAAATTCCTCAATATTTTTGATGTTCGAAGGAATATTGTATTGAAGTGGTTTCAGTATTCTTGATATGTATTTTGATAAAGTATATGTTACTGAATTGGTAAAATCAATTATTGGTCTTAAAGGAACATCTACTTTATGTATTTTCGGCCTTCCATAAAATCTGGCGGCTGTGTTTGTCTTGGGAGCTATTGAAAACCAAACTGAATTCCCTAGTTTTGGTTTCAATTCTCTAAGTATATTGCATACTTGGGCTTTTACTTTGTTCGTCGTACTAGACATTTTGTTTACTGGTACTAATGTGTAAGGCCCTGCTTCGATATGCTCCAAGGCTTTTTTGTCATAGTCGTCTGTATTAAGAATTACAGTGATATTGCCTTTGTCAGCTTTAGTTATAACAATAGATTTATCTGATTTTAATGTTTTTAATGCATGACGTTCGGTCTTCGACAAATTTGAAATGCCCTGCTTTTGATTCGACAGGATACATCCAACCTTCTGACGTAATTCATTAGCTTCATCATCAGTTAAAAGATTTAATGTAGGTTCCATGATGTGAACAGACTAAGCCGAACTCGGGAGGAACAAACGAGGGAAAATCAAGCGGGCTTTAGGCCAGGTAGAGGGTGCATAGATCATATCTTCACTCTCCGACAGATCCTAGAACATAGACACACTTTTAGGCAATAATTTAATAATTCCCATTGTAGCATTAAGAACACAATATTCAACGAAGAGACTCTTTTCAACGAATTTATTATCAAGCTGTACAATCGTATATATATGGTTTTTTTTAAAAATTTTTATCCGGTGAGGGAATTAGGTCAAAGGTGTGAATACATGAAATAATAATAGTATGAAATGCAATTAAAATATTTGTGATTATAATCATAGTTTAAGGTCAAGTGACACAATAATTAATGTCGTATATAGAATAATACATAAGGTGTATAGATTTTGGAAAAGGGTACATAATTATAAGATTAGTAGACGAATATAAAATGTTACATAACATGGTATGAAATTTGATAAGACAGAATTCAATATTGTACTTTTAGGCGTCCGACAATCGCCATATTTCTTGACCTGAAGGCGGCCTTCGACTCAGTGGATCGAGAGGTACTATGGCAATGTTTGACTATGAAGGGAGTGCCAAGAAAGTACATTGCACTAATCAAGGCACTTTACTCAAACTCACGTAGCTGTGTAAGGGCTTATGGAGAATTGTCATCTGAATTGATAACAACCAGTGGTGTCCGTCAAGGATGTCCACTTTCCCCTTTTCTGTTTAACTTCATCATAGATATGCTAATGGAAGTATCCTTAACTGAACTTAATGACTTAGGAATCGACTTGTTACCAGGGAATAGTCTTATAGACTTAGAATACGCAGACGACATAGTCCTGTTAGGGGAGGACGCTGACAAAATGCAGAGTCTTCTGAACACCTTGAGCAGCAATCTTCGTATGTTTGGCATGCGATTTGCCCCTGTGAAATGTAAGATGCTGCTAAAGGACTGGACTACGTCAACTCCTAGCTTAGTGATAGGGAGTGAAGTGATAGAACATGTTGACCACTTCACCTATTTGGGAAGTTGTATCAGCACCAACGGATTGATTGGTGACGAAATCACAGCACGGATCCAGAAAGCTCGGGCTGCTTTCGCTAACTTACACCGTCTCAACCAAGGGACGTGTATACTGCTCAGCAGTTCGCTCCGTCCTTCTCTATGGTGGTGAGACGTGGCCATTGAGAGCGGAAGACATGAAGAGATTGTCTGTTTTTGACCACAGATGTTTACGATCACTTTCTCGCGTTAGGTGGTATAATAAGGTAAGTAATGTTGACGTTAGGCGTAGAGTGTTGGGCAAAGAGGGAAAATCACTCTAAGAGGCTATGAAGTTACATAGCTTGAGATGGCTAGGTCACGTGCTGCGCATGCCTAACCATCGCCTCCCCCGACTGACGGGCATTACTAGCTGATAAAGGTGCAGGTTGGAAAAGAGTAAGTGGTGGCCAAACAAAAACATGGCATCAATCCATGAAATCCCTGACAGTTAAACTGAGTCAGGTAGGGAGATAGATGCAGACTTCCGGGTTGGGGCCCTCGGGACTCTAAGAATCAATGGCTGGAGACAATAGGTGACATGGCTCAAAATCGTTGTCAGTGGCGCAGATGTATTCAGTCTCTTTAACCTTCATATTCCTTTCTACCATTACACATTCTGTTTCACTCTTATACTTATCTAAATTCTATTGATTCTCTTCTCTTATTTTCCTGTCTACCTTTGTGTGCTCTTTGGAACGTGGCAACTCGAACTGCTGCACCTCGGTGCCAAGTTCTATGTTGAATCCAGCAGCAGCAGCAGCAGGTTCCATGATGGGAGCTAATTCTATCACTGTCAGTGGTTTTCGAGTTATGTTGAAGTTTAGTCCTTTTTCAAGTAGTGCTGTTTCATGTACATTGAGTTCTCTAGCTGATAAGTTGCATACTGTTCTTGTGTTTGTCTGTACTTTTGACTTATTTGCTCTGGCGTATGCTGCAAGACAAATGAAAAAATCAATCAGCACTCTATGAGCCTCCATGACCTTTTACAACATATAGGATCATGTTTATCATATATGAATTCACGTATTTTCCACATGACAAATAACATACATACACACACACACACACTCATACAAAACTAATCTATACAAAATTAAGTATACAAGAGTGAACACAACAACAATTTGACATTAGTCATTACAAATATATGTGATGTCCATAGACAAATGACCTTCAAATAAACTGACTTTAATGTATGTAAAAAATTTTTGACTATATATTTTGATGATTAATAAAAATCCGAATAAATCTGCTGAAGAAGCTGTGGCTTACACAGCGAAACGTTCAGAGAAATCTTGTTTTGATTTTCTTAACACGCTGGGATTAATTTAAATAATTTATAATGAATCAATCTGACTCTGCGCTCAAATTATTTCACGAATTTCGTAACACCTACGGCCTGGAAGCCTATCATCATACTTAAATATAATTCAAAAATATGACAACCTTTTAAGTTTTCATTGAACTGAGTATCAACATGGTGTAGACTGTACATACTCCAGTAATTCTACTACTGTATCAGTTTCAAATTTCCCTGAAAGAGTTTTGACGTCAATCTAAGCACCATCTTCGGTAATAATTCACATATAGATTAGGAGAATTATACACCTGCATTATCAGAGTATGACGAAATGTATAAAAACAGGACAGATGACTTAAAAAAGTGTTTGAAACTAACAGTACTGTAAGACATTGATCTTCATTGCCACTTTGTATGGCCTCTTTACACCTCACATCAGTATTATCAGTAAACTTGTTTACATTTTGTGTTTGGTCGACGATCAAGGAAATTTGAAATAGCTTATTCAAATTACACAAATATTACCTTTGACACTTGTGTTTTATAAAACACAAGTGTCAAAGTCGTGTGATCACAGTTGATATGATTATGAACAATAAATTTTGTTCGAAACGTCATCCAGTAAATAATACTGTTTCACTGTGTGATATACCTAATAAACAAACTAATATGGAATTACTTACTACCACAGTGCCCAAGTTTTACACATATATTAATACACAAATATTAGTAAACTCACGCATTTGCATAAAATTGGTTGTATAATCCCGAAATCAGTTCCTTGGTATTCATTTAAAAAACAAACTACTTCTTTATTATTAGTTTTGTATTCAGATTTTATTGAGTCGGTGTTTATTGTTGAACAGTCGGCTTTCATCAACGTTTGTTAAACATTCGGCAGATGCATTTAGGTTTAAATTATCCGCTTGTTCCACCATTATTTAATATATATTTATTCGAACACTAATTTGGCACACTGTGAGCATCAAGAGATGCACCACACAAATTCTTAAAATTTGTGCATGGTCTGGGATATTGCTCAAATGCTTAGATTTAAGCTGGTGTTTGTCTCATAGGGCCATCTCCCGAGCTTTTAACTTGAAGTCTGGCCCGTAAGCCACCGAACTATCAACAGGAGCCACATCCCCATGGATGCTGGTGTCCAAAACAGGTTCGTACTCCATTCGATCTTTTCAGATTTTGGAGCCTATGTACACTGGTTTCCCAACTCCCCTAGGTAGACCTGTGTGTCCCCTAGTGGGGTTGTAAGAGCCAGGTGTTCTCATTCGCCATTTCACTTATGTGGAAATGCACTAGCCGCATGAAGATAGTGAATAGGACTAATCTGGCAAAGACTATGAACGCGTGGCCAAGTGAGAGCATTTCGAGAGGAAGACCGAAGTCCACACACCCTCGGCCGTACGAGGCGGTGTATTGGTTGTGTTTTATCTTTGTTGATATGAAAATGGCCTTCTAAGCGCGTATTCTACATCTTGCTATCAGCACACATACGTTTAGGTAGCTTCACAGCTTTTAGTTTAGCAATACTTTCTCAGTCATTTTTCACATAAAATATCTTTTGTGTATTATATAATGCAATAGAATAAATACGGTTCTTGTCTTCATCTATACAGCTTGTTTTTGCGGTCAAGTTGAACGAACGTTAATGTGCAACAGTCGTGAAGCTAAACAATGTATTTTTTCTCATGAAGATTTGGAGATTTTACGTGCAGCAGCTGTAGAACTTCAGAAAAGCATGGATTCTACTGAATTAACTGATATGCTGAAACGAAGTTTTATGCCACTAGGCGATGATATTATTCATAATGATTCATCTGTAACAGAAAAATCGGTTGATGTGCAAGTTTTCACACCTGATGCATTATTAGCAAAACTCGGTTCAACATTTTCATGTCATCAACCTTGCAACAGTCTTTTAAACTGTAATTACCATAAATGTACAAACTACTGTCATTCTGGAAAATGTTCACCATGTTTGTTAGATCCGGAATGGTGCTTAAATTGTCCATGTGGGAAAACGCCTCTTTCTAAATTGGTTGGTTATTCTTATTTTATATTGATGCATTGTGTGATGATTGTGTCATTTCTTGAATTTCTTAAAACTTTTTTCACTTATCACAAACTAGTTTGTTTGAACAAACTATTTTGTTTAGTTAACATTGTGATTCATTTTATATGGATAACAAGGCATTATTATCGCAACGAGTTCATCATTAACTTGGATAGATGACTAATAATAATAATAATACAATCATATCAATTAAATATATCATTCAATCTTATGAATCAGGTGTTTACTTACTTTCACAGTATTCTCGCAATACTAATGTGGTCAACTAGGTTATTCCAAATAAACTCAAGATTAATTCGGAAAGTGAGGGGAGACCCAGTTTATGCCAAATAAAAACATGTAGCCTACATTTATTATACTGCTTCCTGAGACATTTGATACCTGCTTTCCGATCTTCGTGAAAGGAATACAATATATATAGGTATACCTACATAAACGTAAGTATATACTTATATGCTGCACCAACCATGCCGTTTTCATTTTGATTAACAAGACCACTGTGCATTTTATACGAATTTATGAATCTCCGAAAACAACAGTCAAGCGATAATTGAAGTTGCATGAAGTTATCACCTCTTCGGAAAACTGCTTGCATTTGACACTCCCGTGAAGTCCTTAATAATAATAATCACTTTATTCCACAACAATAACAATTTACAGCATGGAATTTTCAGCGTTTCTTTTACATATTGCAATGGTTTAGCTCTGTTTATAATTATATAAATGTATAAAATGTTAAAATATTGATAGTTAATAGGAAAAAATAAAACCCCAACAAAATCACACCATTGCTAGGTCATAGTGAATAATAAATAAATAATATAACAAATAACACATGCATTAATATGCATCATTACATTTTATAGTTTAGTTAATGATTTAAAAGTTGTAAAAGTTCTTTTCTGATATTTGTCTCTTCACACAATACTCGTGCCAAATATGGTACGGTCGAATTTTTATATTTTGTAGTACGAGCATAAATGTTTATGAAATTTCTTCTGGTCTTACCCGAAGAGATACAAGGAAACAATTGTGAATAAAGAGGATGTTCACTATCAGACAAGATAACTTTAGCTAAGTGTTTACAAGAATTCATATGCCTATTGACAACAGTGTCAGTTAGTTGAGTCAAAGGGATAGCACTGACCCTACTTACAGCCTTCAATGTTCTTCGTAGTATTATATGGTCTTTCTTGAGTAGCCCAGGGAAGAATAATGGAGAACAATAAAGAATGATGGGCAAAACACATGAATTAATAAATTGTATGAGAAGAGGTTGGGTTATACCTGAGTGCCTCAACTTCTTTATGTAATAAGTCAGACGGAAAACTTTCTTAGAAACTATAAGAATATGAGACGACCAGCAAAGGTTTGAAGAGAAACTAATGCCAAGATAAGAAACACTTGACTTACTCTCTATCATGGTACCATCAATATTACAACAATCATGAGATTGGATCAATCCATGCATGTCTTTTTCACTTCTCAAGCTGAAATCAACAGTATTACATTTAGTTGGATTTAGTTTAAGACCATTTGAGCCAGACCAATCCTTAACTTCAGCTAAGAAGCCATTCATATGGGAACAATCCGATGTGGAAACTACAGGGACAGAAACGGTCAGATCATCAGCATACTTAATGAAGTTAACTTTGGGTGAGTTCGGAAGGTCATGCAAAAAGAAAGAGAAAAGAAATGGAGAAAGTACTGCACCTTGAGGCACACCACTTTCAGTTAGCTGAGAAGTGGAGCGCTTTCCAGCCAAAACAGTATGCTGTTTCCTATCCTTAAAATAAGAAGACAGCCATCTAGTTGCCCAGGACTCTGTTTGTGCTGAAATCATCTTTCCTAATAAAAGTGTCCTAGGAACAGAGTCGAAAGCTGCAGTATAGTCTAAAAAAGCTGTTCGAACGAACTTAGCACCCTTATCAAGGCAGGAAACAATATTGTGGTGTAGTACAATGGCTGCATCTAATGTACTTCTTCCACACTTATAAGCAAACTGCTTAGGGTCACTAAAAGCTTTTAAAGAAGGTTTAAGAATATTCAAAAGAAGTTTCTCCATAGTTTTCAAAAAAGGAGATGTTATAGCGACCGGTCTAAACTTTATACCTGCTCCAGAAGATGATTTCTGTACAGGTACAACCTTGATTTCTTTCCAGTCAGCAGGTACCGTTTCCCTGTTAAATGATGCATTAAAGATTTGAGTAAGAGGATGACACAAGATGTCTGCACACTTTTGAAGAAGAATGCTTGGTACACCATCTGGACCAAGGCTGTGTGTTGGATTTAAAGATTTCAAACATAATAGTACATCCTTTTCTTTAAAACCCGGAAAATGACCATTATCTTGACTAGGTACATCAGGTACAACCATATTAATTTGTTTCTTGATAAATGATTTGTTTAAAGTGTAGCGGTAAATAATTCCCCAAAATTACTGACCACAGCAATCATCACTCAACATTGGATGCTGACCCTCACTGTTTAAGTCGACTTGTTTAGCTGAAGGCTTCCGGTCAAGCATCCCCGCCATTTGGTACTCTGTCGTGTCACGTGCGTGCACGATCACTAGCCAGCTAAGCATTCACTTCAGCCCGCGATTTGGTCCCGAAATATATACCGTACTTTGGACGACTAAATTTGGTCTTTTGCTTTGCCTTTGGTACTCGAAGAACGAACACTATAGAAGTTGTTGGTATAAGATCTTGCGTTAGTATACTCCGTACAGTTCGCGAACGTCGATACCTTCAACCACCAAACTGGTGAGCCCAACCACGAACTTCATCTTCAATAAACACGCAGATAAACCCGGTGAGTTCGTTCCTTTTTGTGTTTGTTCTTGTACTCTTTTGTAATCGGCATACATTTCGTCATGAGTGATCCTAGCCCCAAGGTTATTCGTATTCGCTCAACCGCCAAAACAATTCAGCTCGTACCATATTGGCCAGATAATGCTGAAACGTGGTTTCAGATAGCCGAGTCTGATTTTTGTGAGCATGGGATAACCGATCAACGTTCACAGTTCCTCGCAGTTATTCATGCCCTACCGCGGGAATTCAGCAAGTGCGTAACTCTACAGATGTCGAGTCCAGAGGTAAGTAACTCGTACGAGTTGCTCAAAGCATCCCTCCTCAAGAGAAACGTTCTCACGGATCGACAGCGTCTGGATGAATTATTTCATAACATCGAGTTAGGGGATCAGTCAGCCGTGAGCATGCTGGCAAGAATGAGAGAGATTATTGACCAAAGTCAGTTCGACGAAGGACTGTTCAGAGAACTCTTTGTATCCAAACTGCCACAGTCAGTTCAGACTGTACTTGTTCTCATGAATGACTTAGCTATCTCTGCAGATAGAATTCTAGAGATAACTAAACGGTCAGTTAGCGAAATATACTCAGTTACCGAACAGACTTCGAGTAAGGATACTGCAATGATAGAGTTATGCAACTCCATCCAGCAGATGCTTAGGTCAAACATGCCTAGCAATTCCTCCTACCGTCGTCGTAAATCCCCTCAACGGCAGAACGCACGTGGTCGTTCTAAGTCCAACCCACGTTCTCGCAAAAATCCTGACTGGTGCTGGTATCACAACACCTATGGCCAGGAAGCAAAATGTTGCCGTAAACCTTGCAACTTCGGTAATATCACAAAGTCTGTGGGAAACTATCCCGCCGGCACGTGTTAGCGGCAATCGTCGCCGGTGGCACTAGCCGCTTACTTTACATCCATGATGTAATCAGCCAGACTAGATATTTAGTCGACACAGGCGCCGAAGTCAGTTTCCTTCCTGCTACAGCAGCAGATCGACAGAAGGAACCTACCTTCAACTTACAGGCTGTAAATGGAAAACCAATTGCAACTTTTGGTAGGAAATACGTCTATCTGAACGTAGGTTTACGCAAACCTATTCAGTGGATTTTCCTTATCGCTGACGTCACAATGCCCATCATTGGCACGGACCTACTTAATCATCATGATTTGCTCGTAGACGTCCGCCGAAAACGACTGATTGACAATACTACTAGTCTGTCTATAAAAGGCATCACCTACATAGGCCCCAGCTTGTCAATCGTTAAGATGAAAGCAATCCTCGATCCAACTTTTCAACCGATTGTTGACAAATATCCGGAACTCAATTGCCCATCTAACGATCTCCCGTGCATAACCAGCAATGTTATGCACCACATCATAACCTCAGGACAGCCGTGACATCTAAAGCACGACGACTGGCCCCTGACAAACTGAGAATTGCTAGAAATGAATTCGATCATATGCTCACCCTTGGCATCATTCGGCCATCGAATAGTCCATGGGCATCCCCATTGCATATGGTACCGAAAAAGGATAGTAACGATTGGTGACCCACTGGTGATTACCGGCGAGTGAACGCCAAAACAACCCCTGACTGCTACCCTTTGCCTCACATACACGACTTGACGGCAACGTTATCTGGAGCATCTATATTCTCAAAAATCGACTTGGTTAAAGCGTATAACCAAATCCCGATGGCAACGGAAGATATTCCAAAAACGGCTATCATCACACCTTTCGGACTTTTCGAATTCCTACGTATGCCATTCGGCCTCCGGAATGCGGCCCAAACATTCCAACGCTTCATCGATGAAGTATTTCGCGGTCTCGACTTTGTATACGCATACTTAGACGACTGCCTCATTGCCAGTCCAGATAAGGAAACTCACCTTAGACACTTGGACTTGGCATTTGAAAGGTTACGCCAACATGGTGTTACCATCAATATCCAAAAGTGTCAAATAGGCGTTGACTCACTCGATTTTCTGGGTCACACTATTGACTGTCAGGGCATTCGCCCACTGGCTACTAAAGTCGAAGCGATACTGAACTTTCCGGAGCCAAAGACAGTGAAATGTCTTCGCACTTTTAACGGCTTGGTAAGTTATTACCGACGGTTTATTCCTAACTGTGCTTCTCTGATTCAGCCA